TCTCTAGAAGTTCCTAGATAATACTTAGCCTCTACAAAGGCCACTATGTACAAGACTTAGGTGTGTTGCAGCCTAAGTCTTCAAAAGGTCGGACAGCCCCGTGCGCGCTTGCTGGGTGCGTGCGCGTGCGTGCGTGCGTGCGTGCTCTGCGCTGGCGTGCACGCGGGATGGCCTTAGTCTGCGCGGGTCAATTAGTGCGGGGCGTTACATTCTCCCCCACCTGTTGTGGCAGCGTCCCCGTTGCCTTGTATCGTTCGATGATATCCTTGAATTGCCATAAGTCTTCCTCGAACTCCCAAGAGGTTTCTGAATCGGTGAGGCCCTTCCACTTGATTAAGTATCGTGTTTTCGGTGGCACTCCTTGACACCTAACTATGTCAGATGTGAGCACCGCTTCCACTTCTTTGTCGAGTGACTTGGTGGTGATCGGCGACGCCCTTCATGATAACCCTCGGCTTGGGTCTTCCACGTCCCCTTTATAAGGCTTCAACATACTTACGTGGAAGATGGGATGGATTTTAAGAGATGGAGGTAGATCGACCCAGTATGCTACGTTGCCTATCTTCTTGATCACTGGGTACGGTCCCTCGTACCTTCGTATTAGTCCCTTGTGCAAGCTTAGAAAGGTCTTGATCTGTTGGGGCAATAGCTTCACAAGGACTAAGTCTCCTTGGGAGAACTCTCTTGGCCTTCTCTTCGTGTCAGCCCATTTTTTCATTCTTCTGCAGGCTCTTTCCAAGTAAGATCGTGCTAAGTCGGCTTGTTCCTCCCAAGTCTTGACCATCTTTTCGGCCCCGGGACTCTTCCGGTCCTTGCTAGGTAAGGAGATGGTGTGCGGTGTTAATGGTTATCGTCCCCTGACCACTTCAAATGGGCTACGCCCTTTCGATTCACTCCTCTGCAAGTTATAAGAAAATTGGGCCACGTCGAGTAACTTGGCCCAGTCCCGCTGATTTGCACTTACGAAGTGCCTCAAGTAGCATTTGAGAAGTGCGTTGACCCTTTCAATTTTCCTGTCGGTCTGAGGGTGAAAGCTTGTTGAGAAGTTGAGCTCGGTCCCTAGGAGCTTGAAAAGTTCAGTCCAAAGTCTCCCCGTGAACCTCGGATCTCGGTCACTAATAATGCTCCTAGGTAGTCCCCAATGCTTGACTACGTTCTTGAAAAATCTGCGGGTGGCCTCCTCGGCGGTACAATCTTTGGTGCACGGAATGAATGTTCTGTACTTGGAAAATCGGTCTATGACGACCATGATCGATCCGTATCCCTCGGACTGTGGCAACGCGCTAATAAAGTCCAATGTGATAGAGTCCCACGGTCTTGCGGGCATTGGTAGTGGCTCTAGAAGTCCCGTCGGGTGCTTGTTCTCGATCTTATCTTGTTGGCAAACAAGACAAGTTCTGACATATGTCTTCACATCGTCCTTGAGTTGGGGCCAAAAATAGTTGGACTCGAGCAACGCCACTGTCCTCCGTTGGCCCAGGTGACCGGCGCACTTAGTGTCATGGCATTCTTTCAAGAGGTCTCGCCTTATGCCGTCCCATTTTGGCACGTACAAACGTCGCCCTTTTGTGTAGAGAAGACCGTCCTCTACCCAAAAGCGTTGGGTTTTCCCTTCTTTAGCAAGGCCCATTAGAGCCTTGGTTACGGGGTCCCGTTCGAGCCCTTCTCGGATACGGGAGAGCACATCCCCGTCAGCTTTGTTGATGGCGGCAAGTTCAGCCTTTCGGCTTAATGCATCCGCCACTACGTTGGCTTTGCCCGGCTTGTACTCCAACGAGTAGTCGAACTCCGCTAGAAAATCTTGCCATCGGGCTCGCTTTGGGGAAATCTTCTTTTGGGTTTGGAAATAGCTAGTGGCCACGTTGTCCGTCTTGATGCTGAAATGTGCCCCTAGCAAATAGTGATGCCATATCCTCAAGCAGTGGATGATGGCTGTCATCTACTTCTCTTGCACCGTGTAGCGTCGCTCGGTATCATTCAACTTCCAGCTCTCGAACGCTATAGGGTGTCGCTCTTACATTAGTACTCCCCCAATAGCAAAGTCAGAGGCATCTGTGTGAACCTCGAAGGGTTTGGTGAAGTCAGGTAATGCTAAGACAGGCTCCTGGCTCACTGCGACCTTAAGGTCGTCAAAGGCTCGTTGGCACTCATCGGACCATACCCACGGCTTACCCTTCTTAAGCAGGTCAGTGAGAGGTGCTGCCCTTGCCGAATAGCCCTGTATAAATCGGTGATAATAGTTGACCAGCCCTAAGAAGGATCGTTTTTCGGTTACTTTTGTTGGCGCTTCTCACTCCATCGTTTTTATTCTTTTATAAAGTTAATTGCGCTGGCCAAAAGATGAAACCGACTATTAGTTAAGTACTGCTCGGCAGTATGTTAAGCTAATGGGATTTATCCCTCCTCTTGCGAATGTTTGAACCGTAGACGTCCACACTCCGTGGCCTGCGGGGATTCGGTGTTTTGAGGTGTTGGTGAATTTATTCAAATATTGTTTAATGGGATCAATATTTTATGTATAAATTCAAAACTACTTGACTGAGTAAAGACTATGTTTGCATGATCCC